CTCCAGGGATGGGGAATCCACCACCTCCCTGGGCAGCACATTCCAATGCCTGAGCACTCAATAAAAAATCTCTTCCTAATACCCAACCTAACCCTCCCCTGGCAGAGCTTGAGTCTGTGCCCTCTTGTCCTGCTGCTGTTGCCTGGGAGAAGAGACCAACCCCCACCTGACTCCAGTCTCCTTTCAGGTAGTTGTGGAGGGTGCTAAGGTCTCCCCTGAGCCTCCTCTTCTCCAGGTGAACACCCCCAGCTCCCTCAGCCTCTCCTCATGGCACTTGTGCTCCAGTCCCTTCCCCAGCCTCGCTGCTCTGCTCTGGACCTGCTCCAAAGGGTTAAACAGTTGTTCACTGACCAGAGAGGACAATTCCCAGCAAGTCCAAGACTTCTCCAATGGGTTCACTTCCCTCAATCTCTGCACTCACACCCACCATGTCCCACCCATGGGGACTGAGCTGCTGTAACCTCATCTGCAGCACATCAAACACAGCTTTGCAATGGCTTTTCATTCCATCTGGGAAGGGGTTGATCTCCCAAAGTTCAGCCCAGCACTCACTGGGGCTTTGCTGCAAGTCACAAGCCTTGATGGGTGTTTTAAAGCCTCTGGAGAACTGGACTCTCACTGCATTACTCCTTGTCCTGTCACTGCAGCTCCTACCCAAGTCCCTCTGCAGCTTCCCTGGAGCCCCTTCAGATCCTGGAAGGTGCTCTGATGTCTCCACACAACCTTCTCCTCTCCAGGCTGAACAGATCTCCACACTCAGCTGCTTTTGCTGACATCCAAATGGCTCCTGTTCTCTTCCTGCTGTACATTATTAAGGAACACTAAAGCTGCTTCTACAGTCTCTTCCTCCACACTTAGTGCCTTTCATCTCTCTGAAAGTTTAGAGAGCTTTAAATTATTTAAACTCCTTATCTCCAGGGAAAACAGGAAGGAGAAGAGAATACAACAAATAGGATTATCTCATCTCCTCTCAGCTAACAATCTGGGAGAGGTGAGACTCACCTGCCTCCATTCCTCTTGTAGTTGTCTGGCACATAATGAGGCTGCAATGGCAACAAAGATCATGGTTAATACCAAAACAGATTCCCAGTGGAAGGAAGTGCTGGTCCTGGCTCAGGAAGGGCCCAGAACTGCCCTCAGGACTGGAGGAGCCTCAGCAGTGCCAGCTCAGGGGATGATCACTGCCCTGGGCCTGTGGACACATCGTGGGATCCCTCTGCAGAGCCTTGGCCCATGGATCTCATGGATCAGCCTGTCCTGATCCCTCTGCAGAGCCTTGGCCCATGGATCTCATGGATCAGCCTGTCCTGATCCCTCTGCAGAGCCTTGGCCCATGGATCTCATGGATCAGCCTGTCCTGATCCCTCTGCAGAGCCTTGGCCCATGGATCTCATGGATCAGCCTGTCCTGATCCCTCTGCAGAGCCTTGGCCCATGGATCTCATGGATCAGCCTGTCCTGATCCCTCTGCAGAGCCTTGGCCCATGGATCTCATGGATCAGCCTGTCCTGATCCCTCTGCAGAGCCTTGGCCCATGGATCCCATGGATCAGCCTGTCCTGATCCCTCTGCAGAGCCTTGGCCAACGGATCAGCCTGTCCTGATCCCTGGGATCTGCCTGGGAGCAGAGCCTGGCCCCATCCAGAAGAGGCTGATCCCCACGTGAAGCCTCAGCTCCCTTTGCCTGAGTCAGCAGAGACTCGGAGCCTTTCCCAAACCCTGGAGCAGCAGGTGAGGACACTGAGAGCAGCAGCACTTACTGAGAAGTCCCTCTTGGGAGTGAGTTTCTTGGGGAAGTGGTCGAAGGCGTAGGGCTTGGTGCACACGGGGTAACGGTTCCGGTGGATCTTGTAGAAGAGGTGAGCAGATTTGTCCAGGCGATAGTCACAGATGTACACGTCCTGCTCCTTCACCCCCTTGGGCCTCCCTGAGGGTCCAGAACACAGCACCCAGGAAAAAACAGTCAGCAGACTCAGGGGGAAACGTGGTTTAGCCAAGAACCATGGAATGGTTTGGGTTGAAAGGACCTTAAAGATCATCTCATCCCACCCCTTGCCATGGGCAGGGACACCTTCCACTAGCCCAGGTTGCTCCAAGCCCCATCCAACCTGGCCTGGAACACTCCCAGGGATGGAGCAGCCACAGCTTCTCTGGGCAACCTGTGCCAGTGCCTCAGCACCTCACAGAGAGGAATTCTTTCCCAGTATCTACCCTAAATTTCCTCTCTTTCAGTTTGAAGCCATGATCCCTTGTCCTATCAAACCGATGCCGAGTTCCCTCTCCAGCTCCCTTGTAGCCCCTTCAGATATTGGATCTGTCTTTTTGTCATCTCCCTTTCCATTACTGTTACTGCATCATCATCATCACCACCATCTTCTTCTTCCTTCTCTTCTTCCTCTTCCTCTCCTTCTTCCTCATCTTCTTCTTCCTCTTCTCCTCTTCTTCTTCTTCCTTCTCTTCTTCCTCTTCCTCATCTTCTTCTTTCTCTTCTCCTCTTCTTCTTCCTTCTCCTCTTTTCCTTCCTCTTCTCCTATTCCACCTCATTTCAATCATTAAACTCTTCTCTCCCAACCTCTGCCTTTTACCTTTTCCCAATCATCCTCCCCACCCCAATCATCCCCAAGGTGTCCTGTGTCTGTCTCCTCACCCTGTCCCGTTCCCTCACCTTTGCAGTAGGTGTAGAGGTCAAGCACACAGCAGGTTCCCACCACAGCCTCCAAGGGGATGATCTCGTACAGGGGCACCCGGAACAGCTCGTTGTGGTAGAACTTCCGCGACGGGGAATGATGCGTTTCATGTGGACGGAAATAGTGGTGGCCAAAGGCAAATCTCTCCTCCCTGCCAGGGGGCAAAGGGGCAGAAATTAACCTGTGATAGGATTTAGGGATCTCTGCTTCAGTCTGAACTCTCTCCCTCGCCCTTGGCAATGACTGTGATGAGCAGCAGAGTCACCGAGTGCCCCACGTTCCACTTCAGCCCTGCTGTAGTGCCAACACTCCTGGGGGTGGTTTCCATGGGCACAGCAGGCTGTGAGTGACTGACTGTAATTGACAGGCCGATTCTGCCTGTGATTGACAGGGCACAGGCACTGAACCACCCCAGAACTGTCCCTGTGGACCCTCAGCCTGTTCCAACACTGAGCAAAGTCCATCGACCTCTGCCTCTGATCCCTTGACTCAAACCTCCAACCTCACATGTTTCCAGTGGAGCACAAGCAGAGACAGGTGAGGAATCATGGAATCCTCAAGGTTGGAGGTGACCTCAAAGAGCATCGAGTCCAACCCTTAACCTGTCACCGCTGGAACCCCGAAACCATATCTTCCAGCATCAGATCCAGACACCTCTTAAACACCTCCGTGGTGACTCCAGCACCTCCCTGGGCCACTCCCCATTCCAGTGCCTGAAATCACTCAGCTCCCTCCTGCATTTTTAGCTCTGACAAGACTTCCATGCAATTCCTATGCTGGGCCAGACAGGCCCATGGGATGTGTCAAACTCAAGGGATATCCTGAACATACTTCTCGTTCTTCCAGAGCTTCTCGATGCGGAAGATGTCGAGCTTGTCCCTGTTGATGTGGGACAGCAGGCGATACGACTGCCGCACGGGGTGTCCGTCAGGCGTCCTGCGGCTGTCCCTCATCAGGTAAACACAGTCACCTGCCAAGGGGCACAAAACACACCCCTGTCAAGAACTTGGCATTGAGTCCAGCACACCAAAACCAGAGGAGATCCTATGGAACCACCAAGGACAATGTGGTCCTCAAGGTCCCCCCATGCTGTGGTTTGCCATCCTGGATGTTCTCCGCGCGTACCTTGACGCAGCAGCAGGTCATCCCTCAGCAAGCAGATGTAGTAAACACAGCCAGGCTGGGCATAGTGGGGACGAGGGATCATGGGCACTTCCTGCAGGGAAACAGAGGAAAGAATCATAGCATCAACCTGGTTGGAAGAGACCCCCAAGATCATTGAGTCCAACCCTACTGTGGTTACTAGACCATGGCACTCAGTGCCACATCCAGTCTCATCCTAAAAACCTCCAGAGATGGTGAATCCACCACCTCCCTGGGCAGCACATTCCAATGCCTGAGCACTCTCTCTGGAAAAAAATCTCTTCCTAATATCCAACCTAAGCTGCACAGCATGATCAGTGTGAAAATGAGCCTGACACCACCTGGAGACAGAAAGAAGTGGATGGAGAATTGATCCCTGATGATTGCTCTTAAATCAAGGCAGTATGGGCAGGTATGAAGTGAGAACCCAACACTCACCAATCCTCAAAGATACCAATGCAAGAGGTGCCCTAGTTTCTAACTGCAGGAAGGAAGGAGAGTGTTGCTTACCCTGTTGACAGCTCGAGGCTCACACTGCTCACACAGGTAGTGCTCAACATCTGAATTCACACCCATACAGTCACAGTGCTGCCAGACCTGGGAAAACAGGCACAGCCCAGTCAGAAAATCTAGTGAGGGATCAAGCTACCAACTGCATTTGCTCAAAAAAATAGAAAGGAAAGCAGGCATATAATTTTCACGCAGAAAATCCAAGATTTTGTGTTTCACACCACATCAGCAGACAGACAAAACCCCCAAGGAACTAAATGAAATTTTAAAATTTAGAATCAACAGGCTCGGAAGAGACCTCCAACATCATCGAGTCCAACCCTACTGTGGTTACTAGACCACGGCACTAAGTGCCACATCCAGTCTCAGCTTGAAAACCTCCAGGACTGTGTGAAAAGCCCCAAAATTGTTGAAGTAAATTCCTCCCTCCCAAAAACAAGAGCTGTGGCAGCTCCACTGATGTGCAGCTCCTCTACATAGAAACACAAGTTATGGGAAGAAAAATCTCTCCTCTTTTGAAGAGCGAACGAAAAGCTAAAGAGACAATTAACACTGGTCAAAGCTCCACTGGTTCCTGGAGCACAGCAGAAGAGGAGACCCCGTCCGGGGCTCGTCCTGCCTCACCATGCACTTTTCACACTGGATCATGAGCCCCTCGTCCTTGTAGAGGCCGCAGATGCAGCGGATGACGTCCTCGTCCTTCTCGTGGCCGCTGTCCTTCTCGCAGACGGAGGTCTCGCTGCTGTCGGCCTCGCTGCCCGTCTCGCCCACGATCTCGTCGATCTGGGCCGAGGCCTCGTGCCGCGCGTTGTAGTAAGCTTTGCGCAGGCGACACACGTCTCGCCCCGTGGGAGATTTCCTGCCGTAGTATTTCTGGGCAAAGACAAACCAAACCAACAAAAATGGCTTTCGTTTCTAAGCTCCTTCCTCTTATTCGCAAGGGGTTGTCGCTCTAGTTGGAGCTTTGAATGTGGGGATATCTCTTCATGGCTCTCGGTCTGACCTGGAGGTCTCTGTGTGTGACAGGGATGGAGAGTAGGCCAAAGAGAAGGACTTTGGGGCTGATGGGGACAAAAAACTCACCATGAGCTGCAGTGTGTGCTCACAGCCCAGAAACCAACCCTGCCCTGGGCTGCAGCCAAAGGAGAGTGGGTAAAAAGACAAGAATCATAGAATCATAGAATCAATCAGGTTGGAAAAGACCTCCAAGATCATCAAGTCCAACCCTAACGTGGTTACTAGACCATGGCACTAAGTGCCACATCCAGTCTCAGCTTGAAAACCTCCAGGGATGGTGAATCCACCACCTCCCTGGGCAGCACATTCCAATGCCTGAGCACTCTCTCCATAAAAAAATCTCTTCCTAATATCCAACCTAACCCTCCCCTGGCAGAGCTTGAGTCTGTGCCCTCTTGTCCTGCTGCTGTTGCCTGGGAGCAGAGACCAACTCCCACCTGACTCCAACCTCCTGTCAGAGAGCTGGAGAGGGTGATAAGGACCCCCCTGGTTAGGGATGGGATTCTAACACTAGAAAGATAAGGAACTGTTGGAGCAAGTCCAGAGGAGGACACACCAAGCTGCTAATGGGACCAGAGCACCTCCCTCAGGAGGACAGGCTGAGAGTCAGGACTGTTCAGCCTGGAGAAAAGGTTGTGTGGAGACCTCACAGCACATTCCAGGATCTGAAGGGGCTCCAGGGAACCTGGAGAGGACTCCATCAGGAACTGCAGTGAGAGGACAAGGGGGAATGGGTTCACTCTGACAGAGGGAAAACTTTGGTTAGATATAAGGAGGAAATTCCTCCCTGTGAAGGTGCTGAGGCACTGGAATGGATTTCCCAGAGAAGCTGTGGCTGCTCCATCCCTGGGAGTGTTCCAGGCCAGGTTGGACAGGGCTTGGAGCAACCTGGGCTGGTGGGAGATATCCCTGCCCAGAGCAGGGGGTGGGATGAGATGAGCTTTAAAGTCCCTGCCAACCCCAACCATTCCATGATTCCATGCCATCTGACACTGAAGAACAGCACTGCTTCCAAGAAGAACTGGAATTTCTTTAGGTCAGCCATTCATGCATGTCCTTGACCTTCTCTCTGGCTGACCTAAGGCAACCCAAAGCACCTCAACTGCTACCAGGAACAGATCAGCACAAGTTCTCTTCCTCCAAAACATTTTTCTTCTTACTGCAAGTCAGCAAGGGCATTCCAGGAGGGCACATTCCAGCTGTCTGTGCAGCAGAGCCTCACCTCAGCGTTCCTGAAGACCTTCAGCATGTCCCCATCAAAGGCTTCCACAGTCTTGTAGTAACCAGTCAGGATCTGCTTCTCAATCGTGGCAAGGTCCAAGGGATCAGAGATCTTCTCGTAATAGTCTGCATTCCTACGATGGGAACGTGGCACAAAGTCATGTTCACCAGCAATTCCAACAATGCAATTCCACTGGAGAAGGTTTAGGGATGTTTTGGGGAGCAGCACTTACTTCTTCTTTGGGGGCAGGTTCAGGAGAGGAGCTGCAAGGGCCTGCCTGGAGGAATCTGCAGGAGAGACACACAGCTTAGTGATATGCCTGGAGTACAACTCCAAAAGCCAAGGAACTAAAAACTGAGGTTAAAAAAAGGCTTTTCTGCTATGTGAGGCAAAGGGAGTTGAAATGCTTCTGCATTTCTGGATGTCAGTGGCTGCAATTGGAGTTCAGGTATCAAAATGGAGCATAAGTTTCCTTACAATCCTGTTTTCTGCTGAAATTTTGAACAATCACTTTCAAAGGACACAACATCTATAAGTTCTGGCAGCAGAGGTTGAGGAGAATGCAAAGTGATGAGTAGTAAGGGGAGAAAGAAAACACCCAAAGGTTATTAACATCCCATTTTCCCCTGAGTATTTCCTATTCAGAGAGTCCATTGTTCCAGAGGCTGAAAGAGTCTCCATGGAGGGTTTTTTTGAAGCATTACCTTCACCTTTATAGGAGATGATGCTGTCACAGATTTCCTTGAAGATCTGTGCCAGCCTTGCAGCTCGAGCCACCTCAATGTTCTCCTCGGCCGCAGCCAAGCGCCGCGTCCGCACCGAGCGGGAGGTCTGCAGGGCTGAGAACTGGGTCATGAACACGTCTGAGAGGACAGAAAACAAGCAGCTCTCAACAAAAGAGATCCAGTGACACCATCTCCACCACCAGTTATAAAATTAACCTGTCTTCTAAGCTACTGTAACAGCACAAGGGCTTCAGCTCTCTTAATGCCAAAGCAGCTCCTGCTGCTCGTGGCTCAGCTGAATGGCTCACAGTGTGTGTGTGAAGGGGTTGGGATGGAGCTGAGAGATCATCCAGTGCCAACTCCCTGCCCTGAGCTCAAACTCCTCCCAGACATGTCCCAGAGAGGTCCTGGAGCAGCACCCGAGGAGCCTGTGAGGCCTCACCTGACTTGATGTTGCCGTCGTCACGGCAGATGCCGTTCCAGCGCGTGTAGAGCGACGTGCTGTGCATGTTGTCACTCACGTGCTTCACCTCCTCCTGTTTCTGTCGAATCTTCTCCCAGTTTCGTACCAAAAACACGTGGTGTTTTAGCACAAAATTCCTGCAGGGGTTACAAAGGGATTCAAGAATCACTTTTTACTGGAAGAGGAACTAACATGGCAGGGGGAAAAGAGGATATTCGGGAGTACACTCTGTGCCTGTTCTCAGTGGGGAAGGATTTCTGTCTGGCTGGGTAATGGGAGAACTTAAAGTTGCATCCTCAGACATTTCATGATGCTTCTTATGGACAAATACAACATCAGTGTATCAAGAACACTCCAATTCTGAGGCAAATCCTCCCCAAACCATCCCTTACCTCTCCCTGTTAGACATGGGTTTCATCTGCAGCTGAGGTGTCAGCCTAGTTGGGGTGTTCACACTCTCACTGGGTTCCTCAGGGATGTGGCCCCTCTGGAAAACAGATTGTTCTGATAGACAGGGAAAAACTGTGCCAAGAACTCAGCAGAGCTGTGTCTGAGACAGAACCTGTATTGCTCTGCAGGTTCTCTGAGGAGAAATCCTTCTCCATTTCTCTCCAGTTTCAAACACATAAACATGTAGTTTTTGGTCTGATGGCACATACTCCTTTCCCACTGACCATTCCCCACTCAAAAGTTGTCCTTACTACTTACTCTCTTCTTTAGTTTGTGCTTTGACTTCCTCTTCTCTTTCGACCGCCCAGGCCTCCTGTGGGTGCTCACAGCCTGGTTGGTTTTGCTTGAAAGTCCATTCATGCGTTGGCTTTTCCCCCCAATTATCCCTCTGCACTTGTCAAAGCCACATTTGCACAGTTGCTTTGGGGAGAAAACATCAAATTAATATCAAACAACCCCCCCACCCCAAACATTTAGATTCCCTCTCAGCATTATAAAGACCTTGTTCTGACAAATACTACACCACAGCTTGTGTTAATCATAGATTCACAGTGGGGGTTGGGATGGAACTTAGAGATCATCCAGTGTCAACCTCCTGCCCTGGGTAG